CATGGTGTCCTTTTCCAAGAACTGGTTCTTCCTGATAACATGCCCAAAGTATGTGAGATGAAGTCTCACCATCCTCCCTTCTATACTTCTTCACTGACGGGTATGTTCATTCTTCAGGCATATTCAATGGTTTGTTCCATGGTATAGTTCATATTCATTCCTTGGCAACACCACATTTCAAAGACATTCTTTTTTGGTCTAACTTATTCATTGTCCAACTTTTCACTTCCATATGTGTGATTGCAAATACCATGGCAGATATCAGGTGGAGTTTGGCTGGAAGCAGAGAATACCAGAAAGACGTTTACTTGTATTTTATTGACTATATGAAGCCATTTAACTGTGTGGATATGACAAATTATAGATAACTTCACAATTGTATTATGAAGATTGGGAATTCCAAAACACTTAACTATGCTCATGTGGTGCCTGCCCATAGAACCAGGTACTACTGCGTGGTTTAAAATCTGCAAAGGTGTGCAACAGGGTTATATCGTTTGCTGTACGTATTCAGTATGTGAGCTGAGCAAACCCAAGAAGCTGGACTATAGGCAGAAGGGCCATTAGGATTGGAGGAAGACTCACTTAACAACCTGAGATACGCAGACATCACAGCCTTGCTGGATGATATGAGAAGGTTCTGCTTCGTGCATTTCTTTTTCTGGAGGACTACAGGTGCTTTCAGCTTCATCTGGGCAGCATTCTTAAAGTAGTTCAATTCGCATGGGGCTCGTCGTTTGTTTCGGGGCTTGGGAATTCTGCTGCTTCTGTGATGGGGCTTGGAAAGGATCTCAGAAAGAGAACCTCCATTATCCCCACTCCCTTCCTACGCCACCATTTGTCGCAGCAGAGGCTGCTAGAATGGGGGACTTTTGTGGAGCATTTACTGTTGTTAGTTGCCATCCAGTCGACCCTAACTCATGATAACCTTGTGTGTGGCAGAGTACAACTGTGATTCATAAGGTTTTCAAGGCTGTGACCTTTGGGAAGCAGGTCACCAAGACTATCTTCCAAGGCACCTACCTCTAGGTGGGTTTAAACTGCTAAGCTTTCAACTAATAAGGCGTCAAGTGCTTAACCATATATGCCACTCAGCACCTCCCTCACAGGGCACCTACAAGGGTGTACCAACATAAGGTGCTTCACTTGCAAGAACTTGAGCGCTTGGATGGCTGTTTGAGATTCTGTTTACCACTGACAGCATGTGTACATCTGGAATGCTCTCAACACCTAATGGCAATCCGTTCCTCTCAGCCTGGGGAGCAAATTTAGATGAGCAGAGAGGTGAGTTCTGTACAGAATGCACCTTGTTGGTGTTGAGAATGTAGCTGAATTGACTTTGCTCATCTTTTCTGTGTTGCAACTAAATCTGCCAACTAAATTGCATCCATTCAGTTACCCAACAAGTATTCTCAAGTCCTGCCGTGCGTGTTGAGTCCCTGCATAGTGCAATATGTTACTAGTACACTCAGCTGCTAGCCAGCCGGGTGCAGCTTTAAATACACCCAGAGGTTCCTCAGAAGAAATGACTGGCAATGTATTTCGGAAACACCACCCATGAAAGCGTCTGGAGCAACTTCTACTCTAACACACATGGAGTCGCCATGAATTGGAACTGACTTGATCCCAACTGGTTTTTGTTTGTTTGTTTGTTTGTTTATTTATTAATCTCCTTAATCCTCTTCAGAAACTGGCCAGAAAATTCATTTACATAGCTCGTTTTGTTGCATTGATAGCTCCTAAATCTGGAAAAGTGGTTTCTAGCTTTTTGAGGGCTAATTGTGGTACTTGGTGTGGGGTTCTAGCTGAAATTTCAAAGTAGTTTGGCCCAAGGAGGAAAAGTTGAGTCTAATAAAGACAGTTCTAAGTGTGTGTCTTCCTGTTTTTCACAATCCCAGGAACGGAACACAGAGATGACATAGACTTGAGGGCTGTGTTTACAGTGCAGAGGGTTTAGGTATATTTGTACAAGTTCTGCAGAGCTTAGAGTGATGATTCAAGCAGGGTTATTTCATTCTCTGCCAGCTTCCTCTGAGCACTATCAGACAGGGCTGCTGTTGTTAGGAGCCCTTGAGTCAATTTCATCTTGTAGCAACCTCATGTGATAGAATAGAACTGTTCATAATGTTTTCTAGGCTGCCATCTGTATGTGAATAGATGGCCAGGTCTTTCTCCTCTGAGGTGGATTTTAACTCTCAACCTTTCAGTTAGCAGCCAAATGTTTCACCATTGTGCCACCAAGTCTCCTTTTATAGGGCACGGAAAGGAGAGTTAAATTGTCCATAAGTGAGATCTGCAGTTCTTCCTCAAATGTAAATTCTTAATATAGATGAAATTCATCTAATTCATGAAATTCAGGTTCACGTCTCCAAATAATAAAAGGCTTTAGCTTTTTAGCTTTAGCTTCTTAGAAAATATAAACTGCTCACTAATGATTACTTCATAGACCAAGAGACAATCCTTCGAGCAGAACAAGGGGATACTGAATGGTTTAAAACCAAGAAAGGTGTGTTCCAGGGTTGTTTTCTTTCACCATACTTTATTCAATCTGTATGCTGAGCAGATATTCTGAAAAACTGGTTTATATGAAGGAAAACATGGCATCAGGATTGGAGGAAAACTCATTAACAACCTGCGATATGCAGATGATACAACCTTGCTTGCTGGAAATGAAGAGGACTTGAAATATTTACCAATGAAAATCAAAGACCACAACCTTCCGTATGGGTTGTAACTCAATGTAAAGAAAACAAAAATCCTCACAACTGGACCAATAAATTTCATCAGGATAGATGGAGAAAAGATTGAAATTGCTGAAGACTTCATTTTGTTTGGATCCATTATCAACATTCATGGAAACAGTAATCAAAAAATCAAACAGTATACTGAATTAGGCAGATCTGCTGTAAAAGACTTCTTTAAAGTGTTCAAGAGCAAAGATGTCAGTTTGAGGACTAAGGTGCACTTGGCCCACACCATGATATTTTCAATAGCTTCATATGCATGTGAAAGTTGGTCAGTGAATAAGGAAGACTATAGCAGAATTGATGCATTTAATTTATGGTGTTGGAAGAGAATATTAAAACTAACACGGACTGCCAGAGAACAAACCAATCTGTGTAGGGAAAAGTTCAGTCAGAATGCTCCTTAGAAGCCAGGATGGTGAGCCTTCATCTCTCATGCTTCAGGCATATTATAGGAGGGACCAGACCCTGGAGAAGGACATCATGCTTGGTAAAGTGGAGGGTCCATGAAAAAGAGAAAGACCCCCAACGAGATGGATTGACATGGTGGCAGCAGCAAAGACATCTAGCATAGCAGCGATTGTGAGATGGGCTCAGGCCTGGGCAGTGTCGCGTTCTGTTTTACACAGGGTCGCTGTGAGTCGGCGCCAACAAGACGGCACCTACCAATACTGATTGCTAGATCCCTGGTGGTGCCAGCAGTTGGCATTTGTACTCGGTTGTTGAAGGGATCCATTTCTGTACAGATGACAGTCTTGGAAACCCTAGGGGTAGTTCTCCTCTGTTCTACAGGTAGCTAAGAGTCGCTACTGACCCATCGGTCATACAGTGTACGTAACATTGATGTTGTTATTGTTAAGTGCTGTGGAGTCGGTTCTGACTCCTAATGATCCTGCCCAGGGTTTCTGAGGCTGTAAATCATTACGGGAGCAGAACGCCTCATCATTCTCCCACAGAATTGCTGGTAGTTTCGAGCTCCTGACCTTGAGATTGGCAGCATGACTTGTAACCACTACATTACCAGAGCTCCTTAGGTAGCATTCATAGTAGTAATAATGTCAGTGTCTGCACCTGTCGTAACTTGAGGGAGTATAATATGAATCAAGAGCGGCCCAAGGCTGATCTCTGTACCTCTACGCTCTATTGGATTTTTTTTGTTTTTTACCAATTTAGTTCTCTTCTGGGTTCGATAACCCATTGCAGTAACCACACAGAACTCATAGACCATACTTAACAGTTGAATGGTTTCTTAAGGAAGAGGCTACAACTGGAAACCCAGAAGCATGTAGGCGAAGTTTCCGGTATTCAGTGCAGGACAGCTCTTTCAGCTCCTGACTGCAGGACAGGAGTTCTCAGCCCTGCCATCTGTTGCTGTTTGCTCTGTTGCTGGGCTCCTTCCAGGCCGCCCGCTGTCTTCAGCGTAGCAGCTCTTTCAGGCTGTTCCATGCTGCTGCTTTCTGTGTGCCAAGCCTCTATACACACCTCCTTGTGTTTGGGTGAGGGACACAAACTGACCAGCCCCTTCTCAGTAGGCCACAGACACCTCATTTGCATAATAGGCGCAGTTGGGCTATAACTCACCTCATTTGCATAGTCTATTGACCAATCCCTGGAAGGTATATACCAGCCACAGAGCAGTTGCATTCCAGGGCTTAACAAAAAGTGGTCAGCTCCCCCAGGAAATGTGAGTGCACCTGGACAAAATTAACAAACCCTCTGAGGTAGAAAACTGGGGTTAAGGTAACCCCTCAGGGCTTAGTGGGAAAATCTCTGGGGTTTTCCACAGAATCAAAGCTAAAGGCCACATATATGAACTCAGTTCATCACAGTGACACACAAAACAACAACAAACCAAAAGGTTCTTGGGCGGAACAAATGGTTTGGACGTATTGACTAACCTAAAGTCTGGAAGTTTGAGCCCACCCAGTAGTGCCAGGGAGTCTCCTTCCGTAAAGATTGTAACCAAGAAAACCCCATGGAGCACTTCTATTCTACAGCATTTGGGATTGCCATGAGTTGTAACGGGTTTGGTTTAGACTCTGCAAGGTTGGTAGTTTGAATCCACCAAGGGGCGCTATAGAAGAAAAACCTGGCAGTCTATGTTTGTAAGATTAATTGCCACCATCAAAAACTCTCAGAAGCCCAGTTCTGCTCTGACACACATGGGTAGCCGTGAGTTGGACTTGGCTGCAGATTTGGTTTTTGATTTTTGATGGCCCTCTAACGTCTCTTTCCTTTTCTCCCACCTGTTGGCAGCTGTCCGTATCTGGCCCTGAAGATCACGCCCGCGATCCCTGTGGTGGGCGGCATCCTGTTCTTCTTTGTGATCGGGACGCTGCTCCGCACCAGCTTCAGTGACCCTGGTGTCCTTCCACGAGCCACGCCTGATGAAGCAGCAGATCTGGAGAGGCAAATAGGTAACCATGGAGGTCTGTCCACAGGCCTTCGCAGCAATGTTGAAGGAGGGCAAGGGTGGTCCACACTGTAGAGAGGCGGTCAGGCAGAAGGAGAACCTGAGTAGGAGGTGGGATGTGAGGTGTCCGAGGTAAGGCAGAGGGGCGGTGGGTTGAAGCTGGGCTTCATCATGCACATCATGGCACCTCCAGGGAGCCCTGATTCTGGAACTTTCTCTGAAGCCCAAGTGCCCCACTTGGCTCCCAGAGCCAGTCTCTACCTGAAGGTGTAAGAGACTTATTCCCTTTTATTGTCATTGACGCCCAACTCTGGCCTCCTTCCCTGATGGAAAGTTCAAAACTATGACATTTTAGGCTGTGCTGTGGAGTGTCCACTCTTGGGTCCAGAATTTCCTTGATGAAGGTGTAGCAAAAAAAAAAAAAAAGAAGAAGAAAGAAAGAAAGAAAGAAAATTGTGAGACAGATAGCTTTATTTTCCTTTAATATCAACGTCCTAGGACAGAGTTGACAACCATCTGTTTTGAAGCTACCAATACATAAACTGACACCACAGATAAGCATTTTAAAGTCGTGTTTTAGTTTCATTTAAAATACAGTGAGGATGTTTTCTTGCTCTCTTGTTGTTGTTGTTGTTAAGTGCCATCGAGTCGGTTCCGACCCATAGCGACCCTGTACAGGGTTTCCGAGGGTGTTGCTCTCTAGTGCTCTTAAAAATTGCGCTGGTAAGAAGGTGGTTTTGGTGGAATTTGTTGGTCAATTTATTGTTTTAGTTTATAGTGAATTTTTTTATTCATAAATGTTCAAGTTTTCAAGTGTTGAAAACATATAGATAATAGAACATTTGCCAGGTAAGCATTTTGCACATGTGTGATTCAGTCCGTCAGTGTTTTAGTGACTATGCACAGGCATTCGACTGTGTGGATATAGCAAACAATGAGACTTCTACAACACTCACTTGTGGTTATGAGGAACCTGTCCATAGACCGACTGAGACACTGTTGTTTGAATAGCAAAAGGGAATGGTTTAAAATCAGGAAATGTATGTGTCAGAGTTGTATCGTTTCTCCGTGTATTTATTCAGTCTGTATGCTGAGCAAATAATTGAGAAGCTGGATTACATGAGAAAGAATCAGGCATCAGGATCAGAGGAAGACTCATTAACAACCTTTGATATGCAAGTGAGACAACCTTGCTTGCTGAAGGTGAAGAGAATTTAAATTTAAAATTCTTACTGATGAAGACCTAAAACTACTGCCTTCACTATGGACTGCATCTCAATGTAAAGAAAACAAAAATCCTCACTAAGTGACATGATAAATGAAGAAAAAAATGAAGCTGTCAAAGACTTCATTTTGTTTGGATTCATAACTAGTACTCATGGAAGCAGCAGTCAAGAAACCAAACGACAATATTGCATTAGGCAAATCTGTGCACAAGACCTCTTCAAAGTGCTAAAAAGCAAAGATGTTAGTTGGAGGACTACGGTGCACCTGACCCAAGCCATGATATTTTCAATAACCTCATATGCATGTGAAAGTAGACAGTGAATATGGAAGATCTAGAAGAATTGAAGCAGCTGAATTATGGTGTTGGCAAAGACTATTGAAAGTTCCCTGGGCTGCCTGAAGAACAAACAAATCTGTTTGGGAAGAAGTACAGTCGGAGGAAGGTTCCTCAGAAGCAAAGATGGTGAGACTTGGTCTCTCATACTTTGGACCTGCTGTCAGGAGGGACCAGTTCCTGGAGAAGGACGTCATGCTTGGGCAAGAGGAGGGACAGCACAAAAGAAAACGACTCTCAGTGACATGGGTTGGCACAGTGACATCAACAATGCGCTCAGACAGAGCAACAATTGTGAGGTTGGCACAGGACTGCACAGTGTTTCCTTCTATGCATGTGGTCTCTATGAGTCAGAACTGACTCGATAGCCCCTAGCAACAGCAACAATGATTCAGTGACACCAGTTATATCATCCATATTGTACAACCATCACCAGTATCTCTTCCCACATTTTCTATGTCCATAAACAGAAGCTCACTGCTTTCCAAACACGATCCCCACGTCCCCTCCCTCTACCCTGGTTGTTGTTGCTAGCTGCCATTGAGTTGGCCCCTGACGCATGGTCACCCCCACGTGTTGCAGATATAACTGCTCCATGAAGTTTCCTCAGCTGTAATCTTTATAGATTTGTTATCGCTAAGTGCCTTCGAGTCGGTTCCGACTCATAGCAACCCCATATAGAGTTCCCAAGGAGTGGCTGGTGAGCCTGAACCACCAACATTTCTGTTCAAACTGACCTTGCAGTCCAGTGCATTAACCCATAGCGCCACACCAGACCTCCCATCTTTACCACTAATAAATTCTTATCTCTATAGTTTTCCTGCTCTAGTTATTTCATATTAGTGAGGTCATATAATACTTATTTGTCCTTTTGTGCTTGAATTGTTTCTTTCAGCATAAAGGCTAACCACAAGTTCAGTGGTTCAATTATATCACCTATCAAGGGTTGTTATGAGTCAGGCGGCACTTGACAACACCACCAACGTTTGCAGGGTTGGTCAATTTGGTGACAGGGACAGAGGGAGCGAGATGGCTCAGTGTAGGCACAAGTGTGAGTGTGAGAAATCCCCAGATGAAGTGCCATCTCAGCAGTGGAAACTCACCAGCTGCTCCTGCTTCCGGAAAACCCACTGCGACAGTTCTGCCCTGCCCTATTGGGTCACTAGGAGTTGTCACAGACTCGGTGGCAGAGAGAGGGTTTGGGGTTTTCTTGAGTGGCACAATAGTTTGGCTACTAACTGAAAAAGCCAGTTAGTAAGTGGTTCAAAGCCACGAGCAGTTCCATGAGAGAAAGCTGCGGCAGGCAGTCTGCTTCCGTAAAGATTAGTCTTGGAAACCCTATGGGGCCGCTCTACTCTGTCATACAGGGACTCAACATTGACTCAACAGCAGCAGGTTTTTGGTTTTCCTTCTGCTCTGTGTGCTTCCCTCCCCAGCCTTCACTGAAGCAACAGCAAGCACCCTTAGGTGTAGAGCAAGTCAATATAGGTGTGAATCTTGTTAGAAAGCTCTTCTCCAGGTGCTAAAGTCCAGCTGTGTCCTGCCAAGATCTTCGTCTCTGTGGCCTGGCAGGGGAAGAATGAAGAAGATGATAGAGGGAGTTTGTGATGATGGTTGGTTCAGCTGCAGCTTTGTTGTATCCTGAGGTAGGAGAGATGAGAAAAGGAAGAAGCAACAGTGGAAGAAACCATATGGTCTCTTTCTCAGCCATCTTAAGGATTCCAGGACCCATCTCTTGTGATTCAGTGGTGGTGGTGGTTATGTGCCTTGGGGTCGGTTCCTTAGAGAGCAGAAATGTCCCTTAGGGATTCCAAGGCTCTTGGCACTGTGGGTTAATGCACCATACTGCAAAGTCATTTGAATCATAAGGTCAGCGGTTCAAGCTCACCAGTCGCTCCTCGGAAACCCTATACAGGGTCGCTATGGGTCCGAATTGACTCGACGGCATTTAACAACAACAACTGTCTTGACAGAAGCAGACTGCCACATCTTTCTCCAGCTGGGCAGTTGGTGGGTTCAAATTGCTGACTTTTCAGTTTGCAGACAAGTACTTTACGACTGTTCCACCAATGGCTCTTTTAGGGACTTAAGAGTTGTTGTTGTTGTTGTTGTTGTTATGTGCCGTGGAGTTGGTCTGACTCATAGCGACCCTGTACAGGGTTTCCGATGCTATAAATCTTTACGCGAGCAGAAAGCCTCATCTTTCTCCCATGTAACAGCTGGTGGTTTCAAATTGCTGACCCTGAGATTCGCAGCCCAATTCATAACCACTGCACTACCACTAATTCATAATAATGGGTTATAGTTTGTCATACTTCAATAATGTAATACTCTCATCATGACTACCACTGTGTCTTACCACATCCCTGCAACCTTGTGAGGAAAGTCATTCCCATTTTACTGATGAGGAAACCAAGTCTCAGTGAGGTTCAGTGGGAAAAGGTGGGAGAGCTGGAGCCTAGAACCCAGGCCGCCCTGGGGCCAGCCCTTGGTTCCTGCCCAAGCGAGGCAGGTCAGGCCCAGCTCCCTTCACTAAGTACTGCCTCTACAGCAATCGCAGTATTTTCTGTGGAAAACCCTCTACTTAAGCAGGGTGCCCAGGATCTAGCCCCCAACCCCGAGTCCACAGTTCCCTACTGCGCTCCTGTTTTGTCTTCTCATATTAACATGGAGGAAGTTGAGAGAGAGAGAGAATTCACTCAAGTGCATTTTGGTTTGTTTGTTTTTGTTAAAATGGATAGTTTTCAGAGGAAGTCATCTATTTTGAAACCAGCTGTGGAACCAGAGGTCTGCCGTCCATGAGAGACCCATGTTGTATTAAAGAGGAAACCAGTCCTGTTTCCAGTGAAGGAAAAAAGGGTTTCAAGCCAGACTTCCAGCACCTCCGAAAAAAAGTAGCTCAGCATATCCCTTCCCCAAAAACGGCAATAAAACTGGACAAAATGATCAGAGATGATTACTTCCTGGTTGTTGAATTCAACTAAACTGATAAGTATTTATGAAACCCTACTGTTTCGTTCCACCACGCATCTGTCAGTTTGTCATACTGTGGTGGCTTGTGAGTTGCTGTAATTCTGAAAGCTGTGCCACCAGTATTTTAAATACCAGCAGGGTCAGCCATGGTGGACAGGTTTCAGATGAGCTTCCAGACAAAGGCAGACTAGGATGAAAGATTGACAAACTACTTCCGAATCTTTAGTCACTGAAAACCTTATGAATAGCAGAGAAACACTGTCAGATATAGTGCCAGAAAAGGAGCCCCTCAGGTTGGAAGTCACTCAAAATGTGACTGGGGAAGAGATGCCTCCTCAAAGTGGAGTTGACCATGATGACGCAGTAAAGCCCGTTGGAGAAAAGCTCGCCGAACCTTCATTTGCTGATGGGGCACAACTCAAAATGAAGAGAAAAAGCTGTAAACAGCCAGTGAAAATTAGAACTTGGAG